CCCTGTCTGCGCCGAGGGGGGCAGGCCCTCCGGCCATAAGATCGGAGGACCTGCTTGCAAACCCCCTCCCAGGAATAAGAGGAGGGGGAAGAAGAAGGAAGAGGAAGGTGGACAAACCGGGAAAAGTGGAGCCGAAGCGGGGGGATGCCCGAACCCCCACTAGACCGGATGTTGCAGGTGGGAGAGGCCGATAAGGACGCCTCCCCAGCGAGGGACCCGACGGAGGAACGAGGACCGGAGCCGGATCACTCGTCGAAGACAGACCGGGTGGACGAGGAGGAAGCGGCCTCGACGGTCCTGCTTTTGCAAGAATGGGGAGAGGGACACGGGTGGAGCTCGTTCCCACCCTCTCCAGAGGAGGAGCCCATGGAGGCGACGCCCCTGGAGCAGCGGAAGAGAAGGGGAACCAGGGAACCGGAGCTAAGGACTTCGAACTGGTCGGAGGAGGAGCTGGACACCAGGAAGGTGAGGAGGGTAGACCCGGAAGGGACACCCCCAACAACTTTAGAAGAGGAGCCGGTGGGAGTGTTACCCCCACCTCCCCTGGTCAATGACCCCCCCATACTCCCCAGGGGAGGAGGACGAAGAGGCAGAGACACCCCACGTATGTACGTGCGACTCCGTGGTAGGAGAAGCACCCGAGATTGAGGCCACCACGGCCGAAGTCCCCTCGGGGGAGACTCAGCCGCCAGAGGTCTCCCAGGAAAGGGTAGAAGTAGGCAGCCCGGAGGAGGCGATGAAGGCTTAACCTTCGCGCTGCGCCGGGTCCTACAGGCCAACCTCGGCCGCGGCGCCCAGGCTCAGGACCTGTGGTCCAACAGGATCCTTGAGCTGGGCGCCTGGCTGGGGATAGCCACCGAGCCGCACTGGTTGCCGAGGAACAGCGCAAGCTGATTCGGCAGCCGGGACGGCTCGGTGGCTGTGGTGGCAAACCCCGCGGCGGGAACCCCTCCCTGCGAGATAAGGGAAAAGGGGTTCTCGTTCGTGGCGGTCGACTGCGGGCCCATCACGGTGGTGGGGGTTTATCTCCATCACCAGAAAAACCAGGCCGGTCTCGGAAACCTCGCCCGTATCAAGGGGGTCCTCGACGGGATCAGGGAAGTGGTACGTAGGTGCCACCTCCGATCCGTCGTTATAGCCGGGGACTTTAACGCCCACTCGGAAGGGTGGAGTTGCAGTCCCCGGCAAAGGGACCTCCGAGGCGAGGCCGTGATTGACTGGGCAGCGGGGTTGGACCTCCTGTTGATGAACAGGGGGTCGGCTAGCACCTGTATGCGGCCGAGGGGGGAGTCGGTCATTGACCTGACCTGGGCAACCCCCTCGGCCGCCTGGTTATTCCAGGAGTGGAAGGTGGAGGTAGAGGGCGAGACACTATCCGATCATCGGTACATAGTGTGGGCCCTCTGCCTCCCCAAACCTCCACGGATGCGGATCCCCCGCTGCGCTGGGGAGGGGGACTTTCCCCTTCCCAGGAGGTGGGCCTTCAGTCGACTAGACGCGGACAGGTTTCGGGAGGTCGTCCTCGTGACCACCTGGCACCTAGATGGGGAGCCGGGTAAGTGGGCCCCCAGCCCCTCGGAAGGGGCTGGGGAACTAGTAGGTATCGTGGCGTCGGCTTGTGACGCCGCGATGCCCCAAGCCCACCCCCGCCGTCGCCGGGTCGCTTACTGGTGGACGGAGGAGATCGCGGCTCTACGCGATTCCTCCGTTGCAGCCAGGCGGTGTTACTACAGCTCTTTGACCCAGCAAAGAGGCGGGGATATCACGAGGGCGAAGGAGGGATACCTAGCCGCTAGGAAAGCCCTTCGAGACGCCATCGCTGAGGCTAAGCGAGTAACCTGGGAGCAATTGACGAGCTCCTTGGACGAGGATCCGTGGGGGCGTCCGTACAAAAGGGCGATGGGGAAACTTCGCCCTTGAGCGTCCCCACCAACGGAGACACTGGACAGCCAGGCCGAGGGGCTCCTGGACACCCTCTTTCCGAGGGTGGAAGGGGGCCCTCCCAGGATCCCTGCCCCTGAACTGAGGGAGGGAGACTGGGACGAGGACCTGGCTGTGAGTTCAGAGGAGCTCGTCAGGGCCAGGAAGAAGCTCGGGGCCAAGGGGAAAGCCCCTGGCCCCGACGGGATTCCTGGTCGCGCCTGTTCGCTGCCTTACGTGGGGTTTTTAGCGGGTGCCTCAAGGAGGGGGTGTTCCCCCAGCGTGGAAGAGGGTCAAGTTGGTCCTCCTCCCTAAGGCGGGTAAGACACCCGGGAGTGCGTTGGTCTATAGGCCGATATCCCTGCTGGACGAGGCGGGCAAGATGCTCGAACGCATCATTGCCAACCGCCTCGTTCAACATCTGTCCTCAGAGGGGCCGGACCTCCACGACCATCAGTACGGATTTAGACCCGGAAGGTCAACGCTGGATGCGGTACAGTACCTCCGGGACCTCACCGGGACGGTCGTGGAGAGAGGGGGGGTGGGGTGTTGTTAGCGGTGTCACTCGACATCAAGAATGCCTTCAACACCTTGCCCTGGCCGGAGATTGGACGGACCCTCGAACATCACGGGGTGCCCGTCTATCTCCGGCGGATCCTGTCGGCCTACTTTGGGGACGGAGACCTCGCCTTCCCAAAGGAGGGCGGGGTCCAGGGCCGGCGCATTATGGAACGCGGTGTTCCGCAGGGGTCGGTTCTCGGCCCCCTGCTATGGAACATCGCGTTCGACCGGGTGTTGCGCACGCCGCTCCCCCCAGGCTGCCACGTCGTCTGCTACGCGGACGACATTTTAGTGGCGGCCGGGGGGAGGAGCTGGTGGGAAGCCCGCCTCCGTGCGGAGACGGCGGTGGCATCGGTGGTGGGTACCATCGTAGATCTGGGTCTCAAGGTGGCGCCCCAGAAGACGGAAGCCGTGTTCTTTCACGACGGAAGTCGAGGAGCGCTGCCGGAGACACGGGTCCTAGTCGACGGCGTCCACACCCGCGTCGGGCCGACGATAAAATATCTCGGCCTAACGTTGGACAGCCGTTGGGGCTTCGGGCCTCATTTCAGGCTCCTGGCCCCCAGGGTGCGCAAGGCAGAGCTGACAGTCGCCAGTCTCCTGCGCAACCATGGGGGCCCGGGATGGAGGGCTCGCCGCTTGTACGTCAGCGCGGTCCTCTCGATCGCCCTGTACGGAGCGCTAATATGGGCGACTCAGCTGCGGGCGTCCAGAGTTGGGATCACCCGTATGCGGGCCGCCCTGAGGCCCTTGTATACATAAGGGCGGTCAGAGGATTCCGGACGCTGTCGTACATGGCGGCAACCACCCTGGCCGGGTGCCCCCCGTGGAGCTCATCGCTGAGGAGCGATCCATCTTCTATTGGAGGATGAAGGAGCTCCGCGGGGGAACTATCGGCCAGGGACTTGCGGGGCCTGAAGTCCTAGGCCAGTGCCCGGACCTTGGAGATGTGGGGCGACGTTTTGTCGGACCCACGGGGGTTCGGGCGCATAACGGCCGAGGCTGTCCGCCCCTGCCTGCTACAGATGGCGGGAGGAGTGGATGTGGAATAACCTTCCATCTGGTGCTGGTGCAGGTGCTGACGGGCCATGGGTGTTTTGGCAAGTCCTTGCACCGGATCGGTAAGGAGCCCACCACCCGATGCCACCATTGCCCCGTGCTAATGGACACGGTGCACCACATTCTGGCCGCTTGTCCGGCCTGGGGAGTGGAGCGCCGAGTCCTGACCGGGGCGGTGGGGTATCGGGAGGAGGAGATCTTGCTCCCGCACATGGTCTAGGCCATGTGCGGGAGCGAGGGGGTATGGGAAGCAGCGGTCTCCTTCTGCAAGGACGTTCTGTCCCAGAAGGAGACCGCCGAGTGGGAGCGTCGACCGGGGACCCGTCGCCCTAGGCGGCGTGGCGGCCGGCGTTCCCCCGGGGGGGTGGTCTAGGTAGCGGGCCCGAGATTACACCAGCCGAGGAGGACGAGGGACCTCTGAAAACAAAGGGCCAGATCCTCCTCGGCTGCCTCGGGCCCGCCTCCGGACACGGGGGGGACCCGGGGGATCCGGATAGGGTGGGTCCGCGAAAGGACCCGACCCAGAGTGGATCTCTCTGGTCTTCCCTGTGCATCGGACAGGTAGGGACAGGGGAGGGAGTGGAACACCCAGTTGGGGCTGGGCCCATTCCCCCAAAATCCTCCCCTCCCTGATTAGCAGGGAGGAGGTAAGGAGGGAGGGTGGATGTCACCTCTCTCCTAGGGGACACCAGAAGGCCAACCGGCGGGACAAACCCGCCGGGGACCGCGCCCTGGATTCCCTTGGTGGAACAGGGCGCAGTACTCGGAGGTGTGAGGTTCCCTAAGAGCCCTGGGGTCGGGGGGTTGGGGAGGGAATGCGGGAGCAGTTCCCCTGACTCCCCACCCAACGGCCCGACAGGTAGACATCCCGCAAGGGTTTTAGTCAGTAGGAGTCTGACATAACCTTCGGCCCTCCAAGGGCCGAGGGTATCCATGATGGATTTCCCCTGCGTGACCAAGAAAAAAAAGGCTATCGCTCGATGATATCTATAACATAAACACATTCCAATATGTGCGCGGCTGTGCCCGAAAGTCTCCGAGACAAATGAATCTAGCTAGCTAGCTCTAAATTTATTCCTTAAATTTTCTTATTCTCTCCTTTCCTATTTTATATATTTACTATGTCGATGTCTGCTTCAGTTCTATGTTAATGTTAATTTTATTTCAAAGCATGCTATTTAGTATTATTTTTATGTTATTTAATTATTTGGTAATCTATCGCTTACTAAACGAAGCAAGAAAGTAGAAGGAAGAGAGAGAAAGAAAAAGATAGATGATAATTCAGTAAATAGTTTCGAGTAGTAATGATATTATATTATATTAACAATAAAAGACGGCAGAGATACCTGTTGATTGCAGAGGTGTTTGTAGGAGGCGCTGTAGTTGGATTAGTCCATGATAAATAAGGATTTGATTGGGTAAGAAAAGGTATGGTGAGTTTTGGTGAGAAGATAGGGAATTTTAATATGGAGGAACGTTACAATCTGGCCTGGCCTAACCTGATCTTAGCTGATTTGATGAAAACAAACCAAACTAGACTCGATTCGACTGGAGTAGATCGGATTCGATCGCATCATTAGGTTAGGGACGCGCGCTTTAGTTCTGTTTGCTACGCTCTGCGTCGGACTATGAACTTTTCCGAGGTGCAAATGGACGACATAATCACGTCGAGTATTACGTCGCCGCAGTTCTTAGAATTACCCTTCCGAGCGAATTCGAACGTCACTACTTTCGCGGAGCATAATAGTGGCGGGAACATGCAGTCTCAGGAAGCTCAAACTTCTATTTCAGCGATAGCTGATTTGAAAACGGTAATTTTTATAATAGCTTCTGTTGAACTTTATTTTCTTTCTTTTTTCTCTTTGTAAATTCTGTTTTGGTTTTGCCGTCTTCTGCGCCTTTTGTTTGAGCGAATATATTGCAGTATTATTACTGCATTATTATTACCATAGTGTAATTAAACCGATGCAGTATTAGATTAGTTAATAATTAACTATTAACTTATTAATGAATATTCTGCTTATAAAAGTTAATATTCATTCTCTGGACAGAAAAGTTTAGATGTGATAAGTTATTTGTTTCATTTTTCTTACTGTTTTTATAGATTATATGGATGTGAACTATGATGAAAAAATATTTATTTATATGTTATAGGAATCGTATCCTCAACACCAGCAACATTTGTCGTATAATATGGCAAATACTATGAGTGATTATCTTCACAAGTGGCATACTTCGACTTTACCTTTAATAACACTGCAATTCGTGAAACAACAAGTAGAGCAATTGAAGAAAGAGAAAGTAGGAGAGGAGAAAGTGGAGCATGTGCAGAATAATATTCTGAATATACCCAGTGTGCCAGTATTCCGAAGTTCTCAAGTGCAAAATAGCAGCAATTTTACAAACACAGATCCAATGTTAATGTCTGTTAATCCATTTGATCTGAATGTACATTTAGAGAGCGAACAAGAGAATGAGAGCAACTCACAGCCAGTTGTGAAGGTGGAACAACAAGTGCAAACTGATTCGCCGAAGATCGAGAAGAAGCCGAGGTTTCGAGCAAAAATTGGTGAAATCAAGATCAGTGTTGATTCACGTGGATCGACATATTACTGTTGTCCAGAATGTAACATAGGCTATACAGACAAGGCAGATATTGATAAACATATACAAGCACACATACAGGTGTGTATCATTGTTGTTAAATGTTAACCCTTTTATTATCACTAGCCAATATATTTATATTCAAACTATCTCTCTTTTGAGTGTCAAATGACACCTACATATCAAAAGGGTTGTGGCATTTTTCACATATTGAAGCTAGCAATAAAAGTAAACGGATTAATAAACCAGACTATATCAATTACAATACAGCAAAATAAAGGTATCAAATATGTTTTTCCAGGAGCGAAAGTACGAGTGTAAAGAGTGTGGTGCTCTGTTAAAGAGAAAAGAGCATCTGGATCAACATATGCGCGGTCATTCAGATGAGCGGCCTTTCAAGTGCAAAGTGTGTGAAAAGGCCTTTAAAAGAAACGAACACCTAACGAGGCACTTCGTCATCCATTCCGGAGATAAGAACTTCTTATGCACGGTGTGTAATAAAGCATTCTCACGCAAGGATCATTTGAACAAGCACACGCAAACGCATTCGGGCATGCGAAAAAACAAGATGAAGAACAATACCTTTTACATCGATCAGAAGGATCCGTTTGATAAGAGTACTGATGTTTCGACAACGGTGCCCAGACAAGAGGCCAAGTATGTCTTAAAGGATAGCATGCCGAAGGAAAGCATTCTTTCTCAGATACCGGAGAGCGTTCTTCTTCAAAATATTCAAAATCTCGCGAGGGATCCGAACTTATTGCACACATTGTCTTCGCTCAAAGAACAGATGATGAGGGAGAGCAGTGTGATGCAGCAAGATGACATTAATACAGACGAGATCTTGCCCGATAACGTAAGATACATAATGCAGTCTTAGCCGTAAGCGAAGTCTAAAGCAATAGAAGCAAATTAGTTATTGCACGGGTAGAGGAAGCCGTAAGTAAGCCGATTGTAATTTTGTAATACTTCTTTAGCTGCTACGACCGCGTTGTGAGTTGTAACTTACAACATGTGGGCGATATGAATTAATGCTTGCGACTTCTCCATCATTTCTGGTTCCAACAAAGGCGCGAAATCTTGCCGTAAAATTCATTTTCAGTGACAAAACATGAAAACGTGGTAGATACTTTAATCAAATTCAAGTACACATTGCACATATATATTAAGGCTTATGGTGGCTATTCACCGCGATCATCTTGATTTATCAGATCCCAAAAGCGAGAAAATAAATGTTCAAAATTCTTGTAAAATATGTCGAAGTAAAAAGTTATCTTCACAAAATAACATTTGTAATCGGCCGAGCATATCTATATAAAATAGCTAATTCACTTTTCTTTCACTATAATGATCAATAAATTATCGTAAAAGTAATACAGCAGAAAAGTTATATCAATGTAAAAAGATAGATTACAAAACAACAGTTGCATGTCGCCGCGGCGAGTAGCCAGAGGCCTTAAACATTATATATTTTTTACATTTTCAGTAAACTCTCAAATATGCATCTTCCGTAACATCGTGGAAATTTGAATTTTCATCCTACTTTTATCGAGCTTTAATTCATTCTATTTCTTAGTGTGAAAATGTTGATGTCAACGCCAAGTCAAATGCTATACTGAATAATGCCCATCCATCATTATTGATTATTATAGCGACTGACTTCGTGTCAATTGATTTTTTCTTGTGTGTTTCTAAGATATTAGATACACCAATTACGGTATCTAATTCTTCGGGTATCTTAAGAAATCGAGCATTCAGGCATCTGAGCAATACAGGACAAATCTGGATATTCAGGTAGAAGGGTTAACTGGCTAACAGAGCTTGCAAAACACAAACAAAGAAGTTTTAATAAACACAGGTCTGTAAATTGATCGTTTCAAAGATATTCAGTTTTCTTTTTTATTTTATACATGTCCGTTATTTTTATTATTTTTTTTATATAATTATATAGACATCTATTAAAAGTGAGGGTTGTAAATAATCTCATGACGGGTAGATAAATATTAAAATGGATATTAAATAACGTTATAGGAGAGTTAGGAGAATTCTGTGAACGATCCTTAACTGATATATAAGAATAAACAAATTTATATTGTATATCATCCAAAGCAATACATGCGAAATAACAAGAACAATGGCTGTTTACACAGGTTATAAATTATTATAACTAAGCCGATTGTAATTTTCTAATACTTTTTTAGCTTCTATTTCCGCATTGTAACATAAATTGAAATTTATTACGCGTAAGCGTAAGTGATACGGATTATTTCTTATGATTGCTTTATTAATATTTTTGATATTATTATTAGTATTTTATATTAATATTAGTACATACGCATATACGATCCTTCATCTGGATTTGAAATTTTTGCTAATAGCTTATAATAATAATAATAATAATTTATACAAATTAAAATTGAATCATCAAACGGATAGATTTTACAAAAATATTGTCAAATGCAAACGATTCAAGGTACGGAATAATTTAATATAATTATTATCGATTAAAATTGAGGACGATTTTATGGAAGATAAAGGATAAAAAATTATAGATTACATTTGACACTCAGAAGAGAGATAGTCTGAATGTAAACATATTGGCTGGTGACAAAAAAGGGTTAACATTTCATAACAACGATATACACTTGTATGTGTGCCTGTATGTGTTTATCAATGTCCGTCTTGTCTATATAGTTTATGTTACATTCTGAACAACAGTAATATGTCGATTCACGTGAATCAACGCTGATCATGATTTCGCCCATTTTTGCAATGATAGATTTAAAGAGCATCGGCAAAAAATGCCCGTTTTCGGTACCTCGATTTTTGAAACTTTTTTATGCCAAATGGTTACTTATGATGACCCAAAAATCCCTGCAAAATTTCAAGATGAGCATATGCCCCGTTTAAGAAATATAGGGGGTCAAAGTTGACCATGTCCAATTAAAAAATATAGCAGCTTCACATTTATACTCCAATAATAATGTCCAAAAAATTCAGCCGAAATGGTTCTTTTAAGATTTTTAGCTGCTGATTACGAATCTGAAGTCAGATTTTAAAAATTCAAAATGGCGGATCCAATATGGCGGACGAATTTTTCTTAAATTCATCAGATTCACTTGAAACTCGTTACTCGGGGGTTTTTGGGGTCGCTGATTACGAATCTAACGGTTAACTAACTTTTAACCAACACTAAATCTTCTTTGTCACTACATTAAACCTACTTTGACCCTACATAGAATCTATTTTGTCCTATAATGGACCTATTTTTCCTCACATTGGACCTACATTCTACCTAGGAGCGGTGAGCGTCGAGCGGACTGAGTCTCGTTTTAAAGAGTTCGGCCTAGAGTTACGAAACCCTGAAAACAAAAGACGATCAGCAGATCATCATTTCATTAACATTCCATTCCATCCTACATCTTATTTGTATCGTACGCTTGCGAATGTAATAAAATAAAAGTTTCAGTTTCGAAAATCTAGAAATATTGTTGTTTGAAAAATATTAATGATAAATGGTAAGAGTTTTTTTGTACTCTTTGTTTTTTCATGCTAATGACTTAAATCTATGCTTTTTTGTTGTTTAAAAAGTTTTTATATGCGCTACTGCAAAAAGTTCGATTTTCTAGTAAAAATGCCTTTCGTTAAATGCGTTAGCTGTGATAAGCAAAAAAGAAGTAAAGATGACAAGTTTTTTCCTGTTAACAATATTCAAGACCCATTAACAGTTACTAATAATATGAGATAATTGGGCAACTCAAAAAAACGTAAGCTAAGTGAAATAAGTGATATTTCATCAGATGCTAAACTCTGCAGAGGTTGCTATGTATTATGGAAAAGTTCAAATCTTTCAACTGATCTTAATGAACCAGATTTATCGATTTACCGAAAAGGTCTTAGTTCTCACATTCGATGCACATTTTCATGTCAAAGTTTTGATAACCTTATTGTAGTCCCACCGTTGATTTGTCGTGATCTTCTTATGACTTATAAATTCTTTGTTTCATCTGGTGCTCGAATGTGTTCTGAATATGTAGGTATTACGAATTATTGGCCTTTAGTCAAACAATCTGAAGAAGTACCTTCTAAAGATCAAGCTTCAATTAGTGATTTAATGTTTGAATATTATCAAGAGCTAAAATCAAGTAATCAAATAGTTTTTGATATGAATAACATCGATTCGATTGATGATAGTACATTTAAAGCTTGGTTTGCGTACAATAAAGTACAGTTTAAACAAATCTGCACTTATACCGATAAAAGTAATCCAGTACATATAGGTGTCTTTCTATGTGGGGTCAAAGTAGGTTTAATGTAGTGACAAAGAAGATTTAGTGTTGGTTAAAAGTTAGTTAACCGTTAGATTCGTAATCAGCGACCCCAAAAACCCCCGAGTAACGAGTTTCAAGTGAATCTGATGAATTTAAGAAAAATTCGTCCGCCATATTGGATCCGCCATTTTGAGTTTTTAAAATCTGATTTCAGATTCGTAATCAGCAGCTAAAAATCTTAAAAGAACCATTTCGGCTGAATTTTTTGGACATTATTATTGGAGTATAAATGTGAAGCTGCTATATTTTTTAATTGGACATGGTCAACTTTGACCCCCTATATTTCTTAAACGGGGCATATGCTCATCTTGAAATTTTGCAGGGATTTTTGGGTCATCATAAGTAACCATTTGGCATAAAAAAGTTTCAAAAATCGAGGTACCGAAAACGGGCATGGAGCTTGCCGAGTCTTTGCATATATTTTTTCATCTGCGGAAACACATAATTATAACTACAAATTGTAGTGACCGTTTCCTACAACATACGTTTCGGAATGCAATTCTTATTTTTCACATTAAGTTGATACTTTCCGAAATATTATTCTATAGTGTATATGTACAGGATGTCTCATTTTAATGTCCCACCCCAAATAACTTTTCAGTATTGAAGTTTCAACGAAAATGATGTGAATAAAAGTTGTAGGGATTTAAGTGAGCTACCTTATGATGACCTTGACTTTGATCTTGACCTCTATTTTCAAGGTCATTTGAAGGTCAACTTGCGTTTTTTAAATAGGAACTCTTATTTTTTTATTACACTATTTTTTCTACTAGTTAATTTGAACAAATTTGTCTAAAACATTTTTTTACTTGTCTAATATTTTTTGAGATATTTGAGGAAAACTTGATAACTTTCAATATTTAACTTACGATATCTCACTAACTATTTGTCGGAAGAAAAAGTGGTACTAGACTTTTTTGCTTTATTTAGTCTCAAGAATATATTGTTACAATAGCGCCTTGACTTTTGTTAACTTACTGATTTTTGGAAATTTCAAAATCATCAAATTAACAAAAATCAGGGCGCTATTGTAACAATATATCCTTGAGACTAAATAAAGCAAGAAAGTCTAGTACTACTTTTTCTTCCGACAAATAGTTTGCGAGATATCGTAAGTTAAATATTAAAAAAGTTATCAAGTTTTCCTCAAATATCTAAAAAAATATTAGACAAATAAAAAAATGTTTTAGACAAAAGTTGTTCAAATTAACTAGTAGAAGAAAAACAGTGTAATAAAAAGTAAGGGTTCCCATTAAAAAACGCAAGTTGACCTTCAAATGACCTTGAAAATAGAGGTCAAGGTCAAAGTCAAGGTCATCATAAGGTAGCTCACTTAAATCCCTACAACTTTTATTGAGATCATTTTCCTTGAAACTTCAATACTGAAAAGTTATTTGGGCTGGGACATTAAAATGGGACACCTTGTATAGGTGTAGAGAGGACACTGTCTGCTTATATAAAAATGAAAATATTGAATATCTCGAAGACGATTGTTTTGAAGATCTATGTTTATTAATACTTTCATTTGTTATAACGAGTCTCAGTCAATTAGTCTCAATTAATTAGCCAGTCTTCATCTATAGTCTATCTTCATCTATAGTTTCTAAAACACCTATATATCATAAATTAACGATTTGATTTTTCGATTATTATCAAAATTAATTTACGTAGCCATTTATTTTTCTCTGTCTGGTTAAATCAGCGGTCGTAATTTTTTTTCCAACGATTCTAGTCTATTTATGCAAAATCACACTTCTGAGCTCGTGATAAATTTCACTAATAAATTGGTCTGCTCATAGGTAAGTAGACAAGTACCACAAACTAGATAAGGCGATACGGAGAGAATTTTCGTTCAATAATATACCATACAATATTGTGCGTAATAATATGAATATACTTTATATAATAATGTGATGAATGAAGGCTGTTTAATGTCAGTGACAAGCAATGGCTCAAATCGCAAGCTTAATTTTATTTTTGACATTTACCATCTTATTTAAGTATATATTGGGTTAAGTAAAAAGTTTTGAACGTTTTCCGCTAGATGGCTTTAGTGAGGTCATATCTCACGATGTATACGTCGCATCTGGTCATTCTATACTGCGACTTAAAGGTGACATAACGCTTTAAAAAAAGTTCTTTGACAGTTTTGTGTTTGGTGAAGCCAATTGTGTTAGAGCGTTCCAAAATGGAGGTAAAAAAAGAGAAAATTCGATACATTCTTCAGTACCACTACGACCAAAGGGAAAAAGCGGAGCAGGCGACCAAAAAATTTGTGCTGTTTGTGGACCCAATACAGTATCGAATGCAACAGCAAAGCGGTGGTTCCAACGATTCCGTTCTGGTAATATGGACGTCGAAGATGAGACACGCCCTGGTAGGCCAATCGTCGAAAATGTCGATAAAATCATGGAAATCGTCGAGTCGGACCGGCATGCGAGCACTTATTCCATTGCCCAGGAACTGAAGATTAGCCAGAAAACCGTTTGGAACCATTTGCATAAGGTTGGTCTCAAGAAGAAGCTCGATGTATGGGTGCCACATGAATTGACGCAAAAGAACCTTTTGGACCGAATTCATG